GTGCATTAAACACTACGTTTTTAGAACACATTTTTCCTGGCAGTTGATAAAACAAAGAATTGGAGTTGGTTTATTTTTCCAATATTATTTCATCAAAACTTACTTCAGTGAGTCCTTCTTCTAGGTGGAATAAAACAAAATGATATAAAAAACTAGTTATGAAACTATTTTGAAGAGGTAACAATCTCTGCTCATAATAGCAGGAAGAAGTTCTGCTCTGGAACTTTTTTTTTTTAGATCCTTTTTTAAAACAAAATATTTTGTTTCAAGGTGGTAAGATAATTGTGAGTCTGGTTGAATTCTCTCTCTCTTTTTAAATTGTGTGTATAAGTTCATGCATATATGAATATTTATTTATTTCTACATGTATAAAACAAGAAATATGTTAAGATTTATTTTAGTTACAAGTAGAGGGTAAAATAGCCTAGTCTTATTTGCTCTTGCACAGATTCCCCCAGCAAATGGGCAAGCTGCAGCCATTCAGGCACTCCCTACAGACTGGCTTATATATGATGAAATGACGAGAGCTCACAGGATAGCAAATATCAGATGCTGTTCTGTTGTAACACCTGTCACTGTGTCACTCTTCTGTGGACCAGCTAGATTACCAAGTAATGCTTTGCAGGAACCTTCATCCTTTCGAGGTATAGTAGGGTTTGGATTTGGAATGTTTCCATTGGTATACACTAGTATGTGATATGCAAGGCTTATTTTTCAAGCATATTTAATACGTATATTAGCTAATTCTTAAAATGACAGAGCTATAGTTCCTGTAGCTGTTCAAGAATAGTTTATAGGCTCTGTAATAAATGTCTCAGTTTTATGGATATGAATCTACAAGGATTCACAAATTACACTTACATAGTTCTGAACTCCCAGAAATTATAGTTTGTAATGAAATAAAAAATGCAAACAAAATGTCTGATGACAATACTAATGCTGAGAAGTGTAATATGCATTCTAAAGACTAGTTTATTTGATACTTTGAATCAGATTATTCAAACTAAATAATAATTTAGAAACTATCAATGTGGCAAACAGTCACATTGCTTCCAGCTGAAACATGCATTTTAAAGATTATTTTCTACTGATAACTTTTAATGACAATTAGCTGTACTATTAACTAAAGTAATAGGAAATATATAGAAATTTCCTTTTTATTTATTTATTTTTTATTTAAATGGAGTGCTGTAGGAATCGAAGCAAAAATAATCTATCCTGCTGCCAGTTCTCTAGAAATATTAGTTTGAATCAAAGAGTCCAAGTTCAGGACATGGTTTAGTGGGTGTGGTGGTGGGTTGATGGTTGAACTCTTTTCCAACCTAAACGATTCTATGATTCTGTGATTATTTTTGAAGCTTTCCTGTTTTGCTCTTAAACTGTTACCCTTGAAATAGTGTTTATGCTGATTGAATTGCACTTAAAAAAAAAAATTTAGAATCCTACTTAATAGCCATATTTATATGTAATTTATTTTTTTTCTTAATGGGTCTTTAAATCTGCTGTTTTACTGGGAAATAAGCGTAGAGCAATGTGTGGTTTTGCAAACAGCGTCATGCAAAAGTTTGACAATGGCTTGTTGATACTGATGAAGGTACATGAGTGAGTCGGATCACACCAATACAGGTACTTACATAGCAGGGGCCTCAGCAGGTCTGGGTACTTGAGTTCTGCTAACTGAAGCAAAGACTTTTCACTGAGGTGTATGTGCTGAAAATAAAAAGTGGTTTTACAAATGTTTACATTCAAAAATAAAATTTAGAAGGAGAATGAGTTCATTGCTGGTAATACAGTAGTGTTCAGGTTTTTGTATGCAAGTGGAAATAATACAGAAATGTTAATGCACCTTTCATATTTAATTCAGGGGATGGGGTATCTAATGATAACAGTGATAGCGAGATGGAGGACAAAACAACTGCTAATTTGGCACTACTGAAGTTAGATGAATGGCTCCATCTCAAACTGGACCCTGAAGTAAGTAGTGTATCACTTCAATGCTTGTTTCTTGTAGAAGGATATTTATGTCATATCTTCCCCAAAAGACTTCTGAAACATTTGGGTAACCAAGATTTTTCTGTAAGACTGGCTGTCACGGTCCGTTTCGGTCTCAAATTTACAGGACAACATACTCTGTGATTTAACCTTTATTTCCTGAGCTCATTAAGAAGTACAACAAATAGAGGGGCTCAATTCCATTTTGTCCAGAGTGGTCTTATCACCTGAATTAACTTACCATTCAAGTTGTAAGGTTCATAACTTAAAACTCTCAATTTGTGCACCTATAAGCAAAAAGAAAAAAAGAATTAGTTACCTAGCTGACGGTGAGAGTGCTCATCCTTCTGCCTCAGCAGGAAAGCCTCAGCAGTGCAGCTGCTGTTGGATCCCCTTCAAAAGCTTTTTGGGTAACCTGATGTTTTGTACCTTCCAGCTTGGAGGTTTTTTCCATTTCCATAAGTTAGCAGATTCTTATGAAACTGCTAGACAAAAGACAATGGCTGCAGGAGACAGCAAGCTGCAGGTGATAGTGGCTGCATAATGGCCCTTCAGCTGTTTCTGGCTGCCTGTGCTGCCTATGTGGTGCTCTTGCTTTGACCTAATGGCACTGCTCCCAGCACACATCAAGCCTTATCATGATCTGGGTTAGCCAAAATCTGAGCAGGGGTTGAGTGAACCATGGCAATGGCATATTGTGTATTTCCTTCTTTGAGAGTTTTACTGAAACTGGATCAAAATGGAGCACTGAATTGAGAGGAAGGGCATAAAGCATGAGAAGATTTTTTTTTTTAAGTTAAAGTTTTAAGTTTGGTGCAGAGCTAGATGACATAAAACATTTTAAAAATTATCTTGCACCTGAGCAAAGAAAAGATAGCTTAACAGCTTAGTTTAAATGTGGGGTTTTCTCCCCCTCCCCAGCACTTCAGTCTTGCCTTTCAGTTTGGACCCTGTTCATTTTAGAATGCCGGAAGCTGCCTGATAGGAAACACATAGGGTACCCTTATCTGTCTGGTCTAATGTTTTTAGTCTTTAACAGAACTGAAATTCATTACAGGCTGCTGGTTTGTTGTTGCAACTCAGACAGAAGTGGCATAGCTTATTTCTGCGTCGTATGCGAGCTCCTTCTAAACCGTGGTCTCAAGTTGATGAAATAACTGTAAGAGCAATTGTAACTGTTTTAAGTACTGAAGAACAGTCTGCAGGTTTGCAGCAGCCTTCAGGAATTGGTCAGAGACCAAGACCTATGACTTGTGGAGAACTTCCTTTAGCATCTACGTGGAAGTCAACCAACAGTAGAAAAAGCTCAGCAGAAACTGAATTCTCTGATGACTCCTCTAATGCTGAAAAGTAAGCTTTTGAGATCTTCTAGAGACTGTACGTTGTAATTTATTTAGCTATAAAAGCATCACTTGAATTTCTGCTATTAATAAAAAGGAAGAAACAATGGAAATACAGTTGAAAGAATTTATACTGTCCTATGCTGCATTTTAGTTGTGAATTCATTGAGAAGTATTTCATATGTGTGCCTGCTGTTTGAGAGAGCGGTCAGGATATTGTCCGTGAATTGTGATCTCTGGGAAGAAGTAGCAGAAGAGGTTTTAACTCTAGCATTCAAAACCAATGCATGATCAGTATTTTTTTTTAGTTAGTGTTCAATGTGTTTTGGAATTACTGTAATATAGGTAGTCATGCAATAGGCTGATATGTAGATATAAATTGTTCTGTGACCACTTATGAAACTCCTGGTATGTCCTGTATCTACCTTTACTTTTTAGAGTTCTAATGAAATCTACACCTCCCACACTTAACCAGCCAAAGAAGTACAAAGAAAAGAACATTGTGCACTCCAAACGAACTTCGGACGACAGGTCAGATCAATCATCAGTGAAGTCTACAGACAGCAGTAGCTATCCTAGCCCCTGTGCTAGTCCTTCTCCAATATCTGGAAAGGTAGAGTTCTTGTAAACAAATCACCTCACTCTTCAAAATTAATAGAATTTTGGGAATAAATTTGCTGGTACCTTTCAGCCATTATCGGGTATTGTATTGATGAATTAAGATCCTAACTTAGATTTTCATTTTTAACTGCATAGTACTTATTTCTTTCTGGAACTTAAAACCTACACTAAATATCCTTGTTATGCTGGTTTAATACAGTAAAAATACTATTCTTTGCAGACTGCTGAGGTAAAGCTATCCAAAGTAGAAAAAAAAGGGCTTTTTTTTTTTTAAACCTGATATAATAACCAGTGAAGGTGTGTTAATTTTTCTTAGTTTTTTCTAAATTCGTGTATAGTACATGCCCTTCTGAATTCTTTGGATTCTGCCTTCCTCTGTTTCTGTAATAGCATACACTGATGCTGATTCTCTTTTAAGTTTAGTGTTATCTGCTGCGTTATGACTGCTTGCTTTTTTTAATGACGGTTATTTTAACAAAGCACACATTTTTAATGAGGTTATTGGCAAAATTCTCCCTGTGTACTTGAATAGTAAACTGGAGTAATACTAAACAGATCACTAAGAGGAAACCCCATTGTTTCTCTAGGCACAGACTCATTGGAGGATTTAATAATTCCTCTTAAGTCTTTTAGTTTTTAAATTCAACCAATGTAAAAGGGAGAAAACCTATGTTTCCAGAAGGTGGAAATGTGAGTAGTGTGCTTCAGGCTGTAGTGTAGAATGATGACTTCTGTGTCATCTAAAGGTGTGTCAGACTTCAAAGAATTGTAACCATTTAGGCCTGTTCTGCTATACTTGTTTGCTGCCCCTCATGAAAGAATTATTATTTTGGAAAGTGCTTAAAAAATGTGAAATACATTTTAAAACCAATTCAGACAGTACCAGCTGATAGATGCTGTGTTTCTTGTAGAATCTGAGGGAGGAGGGTGGGAGTGCAGTGAAGGGATTTCTGTCTTCATGTGTGCAAAACTTTAGAACTAAAGCCTGGTTTATTTTATTATAGCTTAATTTAATTTAATTTTTCCAGGGTTCCAAATCTCCTTCACCAAGACCAAATATGCCATTTCGGTACTTTATAATGAAAAGTAGCAATGTGCAAAACATTGATATTTCTCAGCAGAAGGGTATATGGTCTACTACACCAAGTAATGAACGAAAACTAAATAGAGCCTTTTGTGAGAGCAGCACGGTTTACTTAATATTTTCTGTTCAAGGGTCTGGACACTTTCAGGTGAGTCCTTAGTTAATACTAAATATTAGCTTTGGTTAATGGTTTAGGAGAGCGCAGCAAATGACTATGTGTAGTATGGAGGTTTTTGCTTATGGCTACTGACCTTGTAATGAGTAGCAAGCAAATGTATCTGGTTGCGGAGAAAAGAGTACTTCATTCTTCTCTGAAGTATGCTCAAAGGCTAAGACTGAATTGCCTAACATCTTGAGTCAGAATAATGTTTATACCCTACATTAATCCTTGCCTCAAAAGAGGTTTTGTTACACGGCTTTGATTTAGCAGCAATTTAGGTTTTATTAATATTTTTGAGATTAGATCACAAGATTAGGTCCTATGACTGTAATGGTACTTAATTATGAGCCAATTTAACAGAGTGATTCATTGAGATTTGCAAATTAAAGATCCAAAAATGGCAAGGATTACCCAAAACTTGCAGCAGGGTTGGAGGTTAAATAAAATCACACAAGCACAGACAGATAAAACAGTTCTGAACCAAATCACACACACACTCTCGAGTTTCACTTCTCACTTTTATGTGCTGGCTTTCATCAATGGGTGGTCAGTAAACTTCACAAAATCTGGCTTTTAAGTCCTCGTGAAATCGTAGACGACGATCTTCAATCCTTGCAAAATCCTGAGGCGTCCCAGCTCGGGGGAGATACTGGTCACACAGCCTGCTGCAGTCCCAGAGAGCTCCAAGGGTCTCTCCTTGGATCAGTGTTTATAGGGTCTTGAGATGATTGACTTTGGTCATTGTTTTACGTTCTGGCCACAATTCGTGCTGAGTCATCCTGATGTACCATTCAGGGAGCAGATGGCCCAGGTGTGGCCAGGAGGTGCCTGGCACCCATAAGTTGCTGCACTTGCAACCGAGATAACAGCACAATGGGAGGTTTTCAAAGCATGGATGGCTTATCCTGAAACAGGGTGGTCCTGATGGACCATTCAGGCAGCAGATGGCCCAGGTGTGGCCAAAGAGTGCCTGATGCCCTTGTAGTCAAGATAAGAGCACAATGGGATGTTTTCCGAAAGCAGGCATGGCTTATCCTGAAATCTCAGAGTGGCCCGGGGCGGAGGGCTGCACCACCACAATCCTTTTAAAAAAAACAACAAAACAAACAAACAAATCCAAATAAAGCAGGGGATTGCTACTCTTTTCTCTGCATGCCAGAGTAAATATTTTAAGTGAACAAGCAGTTCTAATCGAGTCACAGCTTCCTAAAGCCAGGGAACTCATAGATGTCTTTATTACAAATTTTAATAAAATCTGTTTTGCTTGAACTGTAGTTTCTAAAAGTTAGGAAGCTGGAAAGTCGTGGCCATGATTGTTCCATAGCTGTGTCTTGACTTCAAGTTTAGCAAGGTATTTGTCAACAGTTTATTGACAAATTTGTAGCCAATTTGAAGTTAAAGATGACCTGGTAGTGCAAAGTTGCAGGTTAGCTGTGTTGTAGAGCAGGCTAAACGATTATCCAGGTAAAGGAAGTTCAGCTTGCCTCTTCATATATAAACTATTCATTAAAGTCAGCTAAACTTAAAATCTAATGAACCAGCCCGAATACAGCTGTCTTGGAGATACCACTGAAGTATTATGGTGAGATAGACATAATGGCAGTCTGGCAGATGCAGATGTAATATTGGAAAGTAATTTTCAGCATGCCAGTTGATACTGAAAGTGGGCTGTTGTATTGGTGCTCTTAGACAAGGAAGCTGGGAGGGGAGGACATGCTGAAGTCAGGAGTGTAGGCGGTTGATGTTGTCTTGCCCTTCCAGTTTTGGCAACACACTGGACATTCATGGGAATGCGAGATTAACAC